CTGAGGCCCGGTCGCCCTTGTGCTTCTGTCCAGCAAGCCCCACATGACCGTGACAGCTGGGCTCCATTCGCGGCCTCAACAGAAAGCTCCCGTTTCCAGCTCCTGGCTTTCGCCCTCTCCAACGGATTTGGAGTTTGCGGGTGTTAGAGCCAGAAGGATGTGGGGGGTTATCTGGTCCTTGGTTCTCGCTCACGGCGGGGGGGCGGGGGGGTGCGAGGGCTGGGGAAGGGCAGGGCAGAGGTAGCAGGCAGGCTTCCTGCAGCCCCACCTCTGGGCGTTTTACTCGTGGCCCGCTGCCTCCGGGATCAAACCTAGAGCCACGCGTGGGGACGCCCCGCCCTGTGAGTGTCTGTACACTCGTGGTCCTGGGGGTGGCCCCGGTGGGAGAGGAGCTCTGTTCAGATGGAAACGACTGGACTTGGCCATCCTCTCGGGCCTCGGGGCGCTTGCCTCGTCGTTGCTCTGCCGACAGCGTCTCAGGAAGCGCAGTGCCCCGCTCCTTCAGGCTCTGGATGAGCGGAGGCCTGGGCAGCAGGAACCCCAGGTGTGGCTCGGAGGCAGAACCAGAACGGAACCGCAGCGGTCCCAGGTGTGCCCGGGCTTCTGGAGCAACGCTGCAGCCCTCGGGAACATTCTGGAACCTGACCCTTCTTGCCTGTCCCCATCTATCTTTTGTTTGTTCATTTGAGAGAGAGAGCGGGCCCCCATCTGCCGGTTCATTCTTCCCATTTGCCCACGACGGGGCTGGACCCACGGCAGGGATCTGGAACTGCATCCAGTTCTCCCAGGAGGATCCCAGCTAGCTGAGCTGTAACCTGCCTCCTCCCGGGCACTACATTGGCAGGAAGCCAGAGTTGAGGGCCGGAGCTGGGACTGGAACCCAGGTGTTCCCCTGTGGGTGTGGCGTGTGGGTGTCTTAACGGCCAGGCCAAGCCCCAGCCCAGTGTGCCATCTCTAACCCTGTGGCCCAGCCCACGTCGCCCGGGGGCGTGCTTCTCCTGCCTGTTTCCGTACAATTGATCACAGCTGTGGGAGCTGGGCGTGCTTCCCTCCACCCCCACGGGAGTGGGGAATGCGAGCCAGCTGCAAGGGCCCTTGCTCAGACAACCTTCAGACACAGCAAGGCTCTGTGGGGGGCTTGCTTGGAGGGCTGTCCTGAGCATGCCCAGACCCCTGGCCTGACTTGTAGTATTCCTAGGAGACGGCCTAGCACCACTGGCCGCTCACCGCTCACCCTCTCCTCTCCCCGCCCCGCCCCGCCCCGCAGCCCTCACCAGCTGGAATACAATGTCGTTTGCTTGCTCTCTCGAAGCAGGGGTTCAGAGAAGCCTTCCAGGGAAGCCCTCCTTCCCACGGCCTGTTTGGGGAAGAGCCGCCGCTGCCCTGAGCGTTCCTTTTGGTGTTTGACAAGGCAGGATTTTTTTTTAATCACACTATGGGCTAGAGAGTAAGAAGAGTGAGAGAGCCCTCAGATACCTGCCAGCGTGTGTCCTTGTTTGAGTGCAGGCTCCAGGCTCCATGGGCTGCAGCCAGCGAGGTGTTAATGATAACCAGGTGTGCCTTCAGCCACAGCAAGTCTGATAGAGAGAGAGAGAGAGAGAGAGAGAGAGAGAGAGAGAGAGCCCTTGTTAAAGGAAGTCCACCGTGGCGTCAGCTGCGTCCGTGGCCAACAGTTCGCCCACTGAGTTGTCCTCATTCTGGGTCAGAAGTGATCCCATCAGAGGGCCACATCGCGGCGTCGGGGGTGTTGGATCCTGCTAATGAGGACCCTGGGAGACAGCAGTGCCAGGCTCAGGTATGCCCGGGCCTTCTTGGGAGTGAACCAGCAGGTGGGACTTCCTGTCTCTCCCCCCAAACATGCAGCCCTCGAACAGCACCCGCTTTCTGATGTGCAGCAAGCCGTCCTGACCACAGGGCACTGCAAGGAAGCAGGGGGTTGTTGGTTTTGGTTTTGTGACTTGTTTTCTTTTTTATTTGAAAGGCAGAGAGCGCTTCCATCCACTGGTTCACTCCCCAGATGGCCACAGTGGGGGAGCTGCTGGAAGGCAGAACAGCTGGGACACAAACCAGGGGCCTGATGGGGTGCCGGCACCGCACGCGGCAGCTCAGGCACCACCACCCCTGGCCCCAGAAAGTGGACGGTTCTTTGAAATACGCAGCCACGGGCCCAGATCCTGGACTCCGCAAGGAGTACGGGCAGTGGATCGTGGGGGGTGCGGCTGGGCCGTGTGTGACCGGTTGTGTGCAGGCCGCTGGCTGCTCCCTGGTGCCTGTGGGCTTCCTTGGGTCAGTCAGCAGCAGGAAGGTGGCTTGTTCTTTGGAAGATGTCAGGGCAAGGTGGGTTCCAGCCCATCTGGGGCCTGTAGGTAGATTGGTCATTCCTTTTTTTTTTTTTTTTTTTTTTGACAGGCAGAGAGGACAGTGAGAGAGACAGAGAGAAAGGTCTTCCTTTACCGTTGGTTCACCCTCCAATGGCTGCCGTGGCCAGCGCGCTGCGGGCCAGCGCACCGCGCTGATCCGATGGCAGGAGCCAGGTACTTATCCTGGTCTCCCATGGGGTGCAGGGCCCAAGCACTTGGGCCATCCTCCACTGTACTCCCGGGCCACAGCAGAGAGCTGGCCTGGAAGAGGGGCAAGCGGGACAGAATCCGGCACCCCGACCGGGACTAGAACCCGGTGTGCCGGCGCCGCAAGGCGGAGGATTAGCCTAGTGAGCCGCGGCGCCAGCCATTGGTCATTCCTTTGATCGGGGCTGAAGGTTCCTGCAGAACATCTCAAACTAGATGGGTGCCAGTGGGTGCTAGCCCAGGTAGAAACCATGGCTGAACAGCCTCGCGACGTGGAGTGCTGCGCGGCCAGCCTGGCCCTTGTGCGAATTCCTTAAGTGAGTTCATCTTTCATAAGCAGCTGGCTAGTAACCACCTCAGTGACGGCAGCAAGCTGGGGACTGCGCCGGAGGCATTGGGGCACAGCTGGTTAAGCTGCCACTTGCAATGCCAACATCCCCTGTGGGAGCGCTGGTTCGAGTCCAAGCTCCTCCACTTCCAATCCAGCTTCTTGCTAACGTGCTTGGGAAGGCAGAGGGGAGGCCCCAAGTGCCTGGACCCCTGCTAGCCTCTGACTCCTCCTGGCCCAGCCTTATCTGTTGCAGCCATCTAGGGACTGAACCAACAGCAGGACAATCTCAATCGCTCGCTCTCTCTCTCTGTCTCTCTCTCTGCCTTTCAAACAAACAAACAAACAAAAAAAAGACATTAGGGATGGGGACTCCATTCTGTCCTCCAATAATTTTTTAAAAGCCGAAACTGAATACCGTTGTCCTTGCACTCGGGCCCTTCCCGTTCACTGCACGGACTCCGTCTTCCCTTCTGCGGCGTCTGTCTGTCCATCCCGGTGTCTTGCGCTGGTGCTGCTGACCATTTCTCCCACCTCTCCCCGCTCTTGTCCAGTTCCCTCGCACCCCTGTGGCCGATGGGGCTCTCTGCAGCAGGTGGGCAGGGCCTCCAGCAGGCGTCGGGCGGAGAGGCGAGCCCTGCTTCCTCCTCCTGCGGTGGAACCCCAAGAGGCCACGAGCCCCTTGTCTTGGAGTTGGGGAAAGTATGCAACAGATTTGTCTACTGCAGTGACAAAAACACAGACACAGAGGACGACGCACCCTGAGCCTTGTAAGGCCCGTGCGTGTCCCTGGGTCTCGCCCTCCACTCTGCAGGACTCTGTCCCTGTCCTGTCCCACCCGAGAATCAGAGGCCCTCACCTTGGTGACCTCCGTTTCCTTAGGAATTTAAGAACAAGGCGAACTCTAGCCCGAGGTCACGTCCGGGTCTAAAGTCCTGGGCTCCCCTACTTCCCTGGAGTCCAGTGCGTAGGCCAGGTGGGTGTCGTGGCGCAGCTGCTTAAGCTACCGCTGGGACACCCAGGTCCTGCAGCAGAGTGCCGGGGTCACAGCTGCCCCTGATTCCAACGCAGCTTCCTGCGCGTGGGCCTGGATGGCAGCAGACGATGGTTCAGGGGTTGAGTCCCTCCACCCACGTGGGAGACGCCGATGGGCGTCCTGGCTCCTGGCTTCTGTCTGGCCCAGCCTTAACGTTGCTGGCATTTGGGGAGTGAACCAGTAGATGGAAGATCTCTCTCTCTCTCTCTCTACTTGTCAAATAAATAAAAATGAATGAAAATTTTAAAAATAAATCAAAATCACTTCAAAATCAAGATCACCTGAGGCTCGTGGAAGTGTGATGTTTATTGTGAAAAAACTATGCATGAGTCTTAAATTTCTTATATCAAAATAATTTTTAAAGATGTATTTATTTATTTGAAAGACTTACAGAGAGGCCGGCACCATAGCTCACTAGGCTAATCCTCTGCCTGCAGTGCCGGCACACCGGGTTCTAGTCCCGGTCGGGGCGCCGCGTTTTGTCCCGGTTGCCCCTATTCCAGACCAGCTCTCTGCTGTGGCCAGGGAGTGCAGTGGAGGATGGCCCAAGTGCTTGGGCCCTGCACCCTATGGGAGACCAGGAGAAGTACCTGGCTCCTGCCTTCGGAACGGCGCAGTGCCGGCCATAGCGGCCATTTTGGGGGTGAACCAACGGAAGGAAGACCTTTCTCTCTGTCTCTCTCTCTCTCTCACTGTCCATTCTGCCTGTCCAGAGAAAGAGGGAGAGACACAGAGAGATCTTCCATCCACTGTTTACTCCCAGATGGCCACATGGCCCAGGCTGAGCCAGGCCAGAGCCAGGAGCCAGGAGCTCTACCCAGGTCTCCCACAGGGTGGCAGGAGACGAGTCCCTGGGCCACCATGCAGTGCTTCCCGGGCACGTGAGCAGGGAGCAGGACCGGAAGCTGCGTAGCTGGACTCAGAGCTGCACTTTGATATGGGAGCCATCCCAGCCACGACACCCTCCGCTCTTGGATGACACAGTTCTGGAAGCGGGAAGCGGTGGGGCAGCCCAGGAGGGCCTGCGCCCGCCCTGAGCGGCCGTTCTCCCCTCTCTCCCTGGCCGCAGCACCCTGTCCAAGTGCTGCCACGCCATGGTGGCGCTCATCTACCCGTTCAGCTGGCAGCACACCTACATCCCGGTGCTGCCGCCCGCCATGATCGACATCGTGTGCTCTCCCACCCCCTTCCTCGTCGGGCTGCTGTCCAGCTCGCTGCCGCTGCTCCGGGAGCTGCCGCTGGAGGAGGTAAGCCCCGGCCGGGCCCGGCCCCTGCGCGTCCCCGCGGGCCAGGGAGAGCAGAGGGAGGCGAGCAGGAGGAGCGCTTAGCTTCTCGGAGCTGTAGCATGCCCTGTCTCATCTCAGGGAAGTGAGTGGTGTGCCAGCCACTGACACAGCCACTGACAAGGCCACCGGGTGACAGCCTCTCCCATGTCACCCTCACCCCCACCCCATCCTTCCCTTCCCACCCGCTCGCCCCCACGCAGGCCCCGGGATGCAGAGCACGCTAGGCTCCTGTAGCAGTTCAAGATGCCCACCAAAATGTTGGGAATACCCAAGGCCTGGGCTAAAGAGCAGGGACCGCCCAGTTCATCTAACCCCAGTCCCGTGTGTGTGCTGGGATTTACAGCCGGCTCATCCCCAGGTTGGAACCACTGGGAGGAGCAGGTGCACACTGGGCCGTCCCCAGTCTCCGCCCCCGGCTCTGATGCCCCTCCAGCCACATCTGTGGACTGCGAGGGGCTTGTCGGGACCCCGGGCAGGGTGTGTGAGAGCAGAGAGGAGGCCTCGGGCTGCTGGGCAGGGGCTCTGGGATGTGCTAGGAGCCCACGTGTTTTGCGGCTGTGGCTGTAACCCTCCAAGCCCCTTGCTCCTCCTTGAGCACAGCCCGTGGCCCGGGCTGCCATCTGAGCGAGGCCTCACCATCAGACATGTTTGTGTGACTGGGCACCTGAGCGCCTCCTTGAACTTTGCACCAGGGCCCCTTCCCGGGCCAGAGCCCCCGTCAGAGCGAGAGGGAGGGCGCCCCGTCCCAAATGCCTCAGAGAAGGGAGAAGGCCAGGTGGGCAGCGGGGGAAGGGCACAAGCCAGGGCCTCTGGCGTCTCGCCCCCATCAGTGACCCGTGCACTGTGGGTGCCCCCCGCTCTGCCTCGCCAGTGGAGAACAGGGCCGGGAGGCGGCGGGCGGCCCTGTGTCCAGGCCTGCGCTGAGAGGGCGGCGCGCTGTGGTTCGGGAAGGCCCCTCCGTGCCACCAAGGAGGAGGCTAGCGCACAGAGCCCTGGCCATGGTCACGGCCCCGTTTCTGCGTCTTGCAGGTCCTTGTGGTCGACCTCGTCAGCAGTCGGTTCCTCAGACAGGTGAGTGGAGGCCACGCCCCCAGCCACTGCCTGCCCTCTTCAGCTGGTGTGGGGCGGGGTGGGGTGGGTGGGAGGGTGGACTTGGCCCAGAGCTCCGCAGCGCCTCCTTACTGACAAGCAGGCAACAACACTGAGCACAGTGAGGAGGCGGCCCTGGGATTTCAGGGCTGCGTGGGGATAGGAGAGAGGCCGGGGCCAAGGACTGCTTCCACACAGCGAGGAGGGGGCCTAGGACTGCTTCCACACAGCGAGGAGGGGGCCAAGGGCTTCCACACAGCGAGGAGGGTGCCAAGGGCTTCCACACAGCGAGGAGGGGGCCAAGGGCTTCCACACGTTCTGACCCTGCGTGGTTTCCCAGCATTGGAGTCTTCATAGAGCTCGCAGCTGTAAGCCCGTACCTTTCTAGATAGACTTTTTTTTTTTTTTTTTTTGGACAGGCAGAGTGGACAGTGAGAGAGAGAGAGAGAGAAAGGAATTCCTTTGCTGTTGGTTCACCCTCCAATGGCCGCTGTGGCCGGTGCACTGCACTGATCCGATGGCAGGAGCCAGGTGCTTCTCCTGGTCTCCCATGGGGTGCAGGGCCCAAGCACTTGGGCCATCCTCCACTGCACTCCCTGGCCACAGCAGAGAGCTGGCCTGGAAGAGGGGTAGCCGGGACAGAATCCGGTGTTCCAGCACCACAGGCGGAAGATTAGCCTAGTGAGCCACAGCACCAGCCATAGATAGACTTTTAAAGGACATTTAATAACAAAGTTCACGATAGGATTGTTGAATGGAAAAAAGTCAAGACACAAAACTAAAAACTTGATTTTGCTGCTCTCGGTGTTTTTAGAAGAGAGGAGAAAGGTGCGTGCATGTGCATGTGTGTTTGTACGCGTGTGCACAGATGGGTGTGTGTGTGAGAAAGGAACCCACCAACACCTTACTGCTCTCTTGTTTTTTTAAAGTTTTGTTTTATTTATTTGAAAGACAGAGTTACAGAGAGAGGTAGAGACAGAGAGAGAGATCTTCCATCCGCTGATTCACTCCCCAAATGGCCACAACGGCTGGAGCTGCGCCAATCTGAAGCCAGAGCCTTTTCCCGGTCTCCCACGTGGGTGCAGGGGCCCAAGGACCTGGGCCATCTTCTACTGCTTTCCCAGGCCCAGAGAGCTGGATCAGAAGAGGAGCAGCCGGGACTAGAACCGGTGCCCATATGGGATGCTGGTGCTTTAGGCCAGGGCGTTAACCTGCTGTGCCACAGTGCCAGCCCCACCTTATTGCTAATTTTCTTGGGGAGGGAGACAGGAAGACTGTCGGAAGACAGATGATGAGGGGTTCTCGATTATTCTAATGCTGTCATGTATCTTCCACAATGATCAACAGTTACCTTGGTGGTCAGAGAAAACAGGACACGTTCATCTCCAGAGGTCTAATTCCGATCAGGCCTTCCTATCAAGGAAGACCCCTGGGCATACAGGTGGACAGCTTCTGACCTTGGCCTTGTCACACTGCTGAGAGACTTCTGCCATGGCTGTGATCATTTTCTGTTTTCTCTTCCCCAAAGCCCTCAGGCAGCCCCTCTCCAAAGCTCCCCAGATCATAAAGCCAGATACAGATCGCATTGATCACCCGTCCTGGCCAGAGGGCCCGGCCAGCACTGGCTTCCCTGTGGGGCAGAGGGCCCGGCCAGCACTGGCTTCCCTGCGGGGCAGAGGGCCCGGCCAGCACTGGCTACCCTGCGGGGCAGAGGCAGGGGAAACCACCCATTGAGTGCCTGGCACTTTTACAAGGGAAATGCGTGGCTTTAGAGGCCACCACCTGCAGCACCAGCATCCCATATGTGCCCGGCTGCTTCACTTCCTGTCCAGCTCCCTGCCAATGAAAGGAGTGGGGGGTGGATGGCCCAAGTATTTGGGTCCCTGCCACCCATGTGGAAGACCCCCCAAGGAAGCTCCCAGCTCCTGGTTTCAGCCTGGCCCAGCGCTGGCCATTGCGACCGTCTGGTGAGTATACCAGCAGATGGAAGATCTCTTTAAATAAATAAATCTTTAAAAAATAAAATCTTGGCCGGCACTGTGGCACAGTGGGTTAAGTCGCCACCTGCAATGCCAGCATCCCATATAGGTGCCGGATCAAGTCCCAGCTGCACCACTTCTAATCCAGCTCCCTGCTAATGTGCTTGGGAATGTAGCAAAGGACAGCTGAAGCGCTTGGGCCCCGGAACCTGCATGGGAGACCGGGAGGAGGCACCTGGCCCCGGCTTCGGATTGGCGTAGCAACAGCTGTAGTGGCCATTTGGGGGATGAACCAACAGAAGGAAGCCCTTTCTCTCCGTCTCTCTCTGACTGTCTATAACTCTGCCTGTCCAAAAAAAAAAAAAAAAAAAAAGCAAGTAAGTAAAGTGGACAAGCTGAAGCTTACACAGCTTCTAAAGATCAGAGACAACATTCAAAGCCCAGGCCCTGGCTCTGAGTTCCCACTAGACCGAGACCTGAGCCGGGCCTGCCCCACGGGGCGTCTGGGGCGGAGTCCCGGCCGAGGCGCAGCCGCTGTGCGCAGCCCTGGCGCGAGGGCCCCTGCTTCCCCTGCCTTTCAGATGGACGACGAGGACTCCATCCTGCCGCGGAAGCTGCAGGTGGCCCTGGAGCACATCCTGGAGCAGAGGAACGACCTGGCCAGTGAGCAGGTTGAGGGGCCCCCGGACTGCAAGCACGGTGAGTGCGCAGCCACCCCCGGGTGGCCAGGGTCACGTGGACAGGGCCACGCACTCCCGTGGGCAGGCCGGTCCCCCAGAGAGAGGCCGGCACTCGGCTTCTGCGTGCGTGGGCTGAGGGAAACGCTTCCCCCTCCTCTGTCTGCGCCTTGCAATATCTGTGTGAAGGGGGGGAGGGGCGGACATGGTGGCACAGCAGGCTAAGCTGTCCCACATCAGAGCGCAGTTTGATTCTGGCCCAGCATCTGGGACAGCAGCAGATGATGGCTCAAGCACGTGGGTTCTTGCCACCCATGTGGGAGACCTGGATGGAGACATAGGGCTCCAGATGCCCCACTTTGGCCTGGCCCAGCCCCAGTTGTTGTAGCCGTTTTGGGGGTGAGCCGGCAGGTATAAGCTCTCTCTCTCCCGCTGTTGCTCCGCCTTGCAAATAGCTAATTACCATATTTTTCGGTCAGGAGCGTGGCAGGACATAGCTGACCGCGTGGGGTTGCCTTTCCCCACCCACACTGAGCTCTTCTCAAAGGCGCTGTGCCCGCTTTCCCCCGCTGCCCAGGCCCCGAGTCGAGCCCCTTGAACGAGGTGGTCTCCGAAGCCTTTGTCCGCTTCTTCGTGGAGGTCGTGGGCCACTACTCCCTGTTCCTGACGCCGGGCGAGCGCGAGGAGCGGACGCTGCAGCGAGAGGCCTTCCGCAAAGCCGTCTCCTCCAAGAGCCTGCGCCGCTTCCTGGAGCTCTTCATGGAGACCCAGACATTCCGAGGCTTCATCCAGGAGCGGGCGATGCGCCGGCAGGATGCCAAGGGTCAGCCGGGGCTGCCCAGAGCCCAGGAGGCTCAAGGGACGAGCAGGGAGGAAGGCAGGGGCAGGAGCGCGCGCCTCTCTTGGTGGAGGTGTTGCCGTGGAACCGCGAGCCGGGTCTACGCGCCCGACACGCAGAAAGCCAGAGCACAGAGCAGGGAGCCGGGCAGCTGGGGCGTAACTCCCGGGCTCCCCGAGGGGTCAGGGTGAAGGTTCTTACGCAGTGCGATTGGGCGGTGCGTGAGCGGCCCGTGTCCAAGTTCCTGGCTGCTCCGTAGCGTGGCCACATGGGCTCCAGGAGGTCTGCAGGTGGCAGCCGGCACCCGGAAGGCCCTCCACAAACCACCCCCAGGACAACCCTGGCCCCGACCTGGGGCCCCTGCACCTTGCAGGCTGCCCGACCTCCTCGCTTCTCCGCCTCCCTGGCTGCCTGGGCTCCAGTGTACTTCACGGGAGGGGAGGGAAGGAAGAAAACATCCCAGTCTCTTCCTTAAGTCACCTGCAGCCCCTCTGGGAGCCTCACATCCCACCACGTCGGTAATGGCTGTTCAGGTGGGAGGGGAAGGCAGTGCTTGGGCGTGGCCACACCTGGCGCTGGGAGCCCTAAATTCTCCGCTGTGTGCAGAGCAGACCCGGGAGCCCTCCTCCGGGCGGCTGCCAAGGGCTGTGTGCCAAAGGGAATGGAGAGGTGGGAGACAGAAGAGCTTAGCGCTGCGGAGCCTTGAAGCTCAGAAAGGGAGGGAGACAGTGCCGCAGGGTCCTACAAAGCGGCTGGAAACGGATTCCCAGGACGCCACACCGCCTGGCTAGGGCCCGGCTCGCGGGAAAGTGGAGCAAACGGAGCGCAGGAGCTTCCCGCTGTCGCTTCACCTTGGCAACCGTGAGCCTGCACCGTGCGGACACTCGGAAGGTGTTCGCTGGATGGAAGTGGGTTTGTGTGTGAGCTGGCTTTCAAGCTCGCAGAGCAGGTGTCGCGCGAGGCTCACAGGGTGATGGGAAGCCTCGGGTGATTCAGAGCCGCTGGTGTCCCCTGCGGAGCGGGGGGGGGGGCTGAGTCGGCTGCGTGTGTCTTCCGCAGGTCTGTTTGAGGTCCGAGCCCAGGAGTACCTGGAGACCCTGCCCAGCGGAGAGCACAGTGGCGTCAATAAGTTCCTCAAGGGGCTGGGTAAGGCCAGGGCCTCGTCCCCGTCGCAGGCTCGACTGGTCCCCCCCACAGGAGCCGACGGCACAGAGCTCTGACAGCCGGGAGCGGGCGCCTTAAGCCTTAACCCTGTCCAAGTCCCTCCCGGTGCGGAAACAAGATCCCCCCGCCGTCCCCCCTCACCGCACCCCAGGGCTGTCTTGCTGTCTGTGTCTGTCGCCTGCTCCCCTTCCAAAGCTTCTGGACAACTGAGCCGGGAAAGCAGGCCTGGCGGTGGCACATCCCACCGAGCCGTGAGCGGCCAGTGGGGAGCAGACAAGAGGAAGAGGGCTTGGTGTATGGGAGGTGGAAACAGGACGTACGGGGACTGCGGTCGAATCAGTAGAAGGGCCCTCACTGGGAAAGGGAGGATGATGGAGGGGGCCCGCGCTGCGGCTCAGTGAGCTAAGCCACTGCGTGTGATGCCAGCATTCCAGTGGATGCTGGTTCGAGTCCCGGCTGCTCCATCTCGGATCCAGCTCCCTGCTAATGTGCCTGGGAAAGCAGTGGAAGATGGCCAGAGTCCTTGGGCCCCTGCACGCACACCCACATGGGAGACCCGAAGAAGCTCCTGGCTTCTGGCTTCAGACTGGCCAGCTCCAGCCATGTGGCTGTTTGGATAAAGCCGCCCCAGGGAGGAAGCTGGGGCTGCCGCGTCTCCCACCAGAGGCCCCCTGCCCGCACCGCTGGAGTCTTCCCCCTGCCTGGCGTGTTCAGTGCCAGCCCCCCTCCCTCTCTCAGATTAGGGGCCTGGGGAGCCCCCGAGGAGGCGGCCCCACCCCAGCTTCTGCAGGGAGAGGTGTCCAGACCACAGCTGGGATGAGAAGGGCCGGATTCGGCACTGCCCCCTCTGCCTGGTGGAACGGTCTCCTTTTCTTTTTCAGGCAATAAGATGAAGTTTCTGCACAAGAAGTAGCCCTCAGCTCGGCCCCGAGGAAGCCCGGGCAGCGTGAACACGGGCTGTGGTAGCTCCTGGCGCAGAGGCCGGGCCGACTCCAGGCCGCCCTCCTTCAGGTCGGCACTGGAAAGGGAGCGAGGACCAGGCACAGCGCCCACGTGCCAGCGGAGCGTGGTGGTGTGGATTCTGGGGACTGGGTTTCCTAACCTTAGGTATTAAAAAAGAAAAGGAAAGTGCTTGGATTATCTGTTTATTGCCCCGGGGCTGAGACTGCTGCCCAGTCCTCTGTCGGCTCTGCCTGGCCCGGCTTGTCCCGCTGCTGTCAGGCCCAGAGGAGCCAGGGCATGGGGAAGGCGCCTCTGGCAGAAGTGGGGGCGGCCAGAGGCGGTGCCCGCGGGTTCGGGGCACGAGTCCTCCAGGTGAGGACACTGGCCCTCTCCCTGGAGTGGAGGTGGGAAGAACAGGAACCCATGTGTGGCTTCCCCAGCAAGCTGCTCTCTGCGTTGGTCAGCGGCGCCACCTGGTGGCCACGGCCAAGGCTCCTCCTCAAACGGGCCTGACTTCTTGCTGGCCGTCTTTTCCTCTTAACAGCCACGGAATCGTCCACGCCTGCGCAGCCCGTGACTTGGAGGGTCCCTCGTAAGCTCTGTGAATAAGATGTTCTGGGGTCCTCCTAAGGTTTGCAGGAGTGCCCGGAGCCCGCTGTGACACAGAGATGCCACCTTGACCCCAGTCCCTGTAGACTGTCTGCAACGGTCCCATCTCATCCTGCGCACACAGATGCATGCAATAGCAGACTTACAGGACCTCTGGGAGGGGCTTTTGGGGGCGGCCTCACTGGACTGTGCCCGCCGGGTTGTGCCCTGTGGACAGGAGCGGGGAAGGAGAAGGAAGAGGCCAGTCCGGGGGGTGCCCCACGGAGGGCCGGCGGGAGGCGAGAGGGGCCTGTGGGCAGCACGGGAAGTTCTCGGCCTGCACAGCCCTCATGCCCTCATGTCCCCTGTGGATGCCACCAGTAAGCCCGACAGAAACACAGACGTTGTGTTGTGGCTGTGGCGGTGCCAGGGGCCCGCACTGCCGGGCACGGGTTCTCGGCTCACAGGGAGTTGGGGGAAGGAGGATTCCAAGGAAGAACAGGAGCGAGAGGAAAGTGGAGAGGTTGATCTCCCGTTCCACCTGAGGGTCCTTCCCTGGTGCTGAGTCCCGGACGCCCAGCGCAGTGCACCCCAGACCGGCATCTCCGTGTGCCTCCCAGCAGTGGCAGGGAGCTGCCTGTGCGGCGGGGGTGGGGTGGCAGGACGGTGGATCCTACCAGCTCCTCGGGTGACTGTTAATAGCAATATCCTGTGTATTCTTATACTGCCCCGAAGGGACCAGATGTTTTCTAACTTATTCCGTATCACACTGTTCATTCAACGCCTCTGGTCAATAAATGTGCGTCCGTGTCGTCATTCCTCGTGGTCGCGTGGTCCTCCGTCCCGTGGGTCTGCCTCACGCTGTCCACCAGTCCTTCACTCTTCGTGTGTGTAGGGCGTTTCTGCCGTGTGACGTCACAGAGCTCTGAGAAGGCCTCTCTGTACAAGCACCTTAGCACCCCAGGTACGGAGGGACACACGGGCAGCTCAGAACGCTGCCCCTGGGCACACGAGGCCCCGTCAGAGCCCTGGAAGCCTGGAGCTGAGCCCCCATGGGGCCCCCCACGTCAGGGACTGGATGGAATTACCTCCGGCCTTGCAGGGTGAGCGCTAGCAGGAAGCTGGCGCCAGACACCGAGCCAGGCCTCGAAGCCAGGCCAGTGCACGAGGGACCTGGGGCCCGACGGCTGCTGCATTTAGATCACCAAGGCGCAGACAGACTGCTTTGCACCCGAGGGGCGCGCCTTTCCTCAGGCTCCCCTCCCCCTTCCGTGGGTGCCATCTGCTTTTGGCCACGCCTCCAGGAGAGGGGCTCAGGTCCTTGAGGCTGTTGACCACAGCACCAGGTCCAGCCGGAAACTAGTTTCTTTAAAGATAAACTTCAGTTATTTCAAAGGCAGCGTTAGAGAGGCAGAAAGAGAGAGGTCTTCCATCCACTGGTTCACTCCCCAAATGGCCACAATGGCTGGGGGCTGGGCCGGGCTGAAGCCAGGAGCCAGGAGCTGCTTCAGGGTGCAGGGGCCCCAGCACCTGGGCCATCCTCCACTGCTTCCCCAGGCGCGTCAGCAGGGAGCCGGATGGGAAGTGGAGCAGCTGGGGCTCCTACTGGAGGCTGGGCTACTCCCAGCGCGGGCCGGCGGGGACTAGCTTGAAGTGCAGAGTCCCGGGGTCCATCTTGACCCAGCTGGGGCTCAGGCCGTGAGCTCTGGATTGACTGGAGTTCCCCCAGTGTCTTCCACCTCTGCAAGATCCGTCTTGGGTGGCTGCAGGCGATGGAGCCCCTCACATGCAAGTTCCCCCTGAAGTTGCAGAGTCGTCTTTGGGCCAGGTTTTGGGAACAGATCTCAGCCCTCCCGTGTCCTGTGTCCTGAGTTCAGCATTACCCAAGGGCGTCTAAAACGCCTTGAAGACTCAGGACATCAACAAATAGGTGCAAGCATCCAAGGGGCCAAACTCACATGGGCACATCGACCTCGGGGCGCTGGCTCCTGAGCAGCTGGGAAGCTGCGGGATTGAGCCCCAAGGAGGGCCAGGTGGGTGTGGGGGGCTGGGGGCAGACTTCAGGGGAGCAGACACAAGCCCAGGGTGCACCTGGCCGGGAGGGGCTGAAATGGACAGAAGAGGAAGGGGGACTCACGGCCTGGGCAAAGGTGAGCAGTGGAGCAGGGCCGTCAAACTGCTGGCATCTGCCGGGGCCAGTCACTGTCACTGTTAAACTGCTGGCATCTGCAGAGGCCAGTCACTGTCACTGTTAAACTGCAGGCACCTGCCGGGGCCAATCACCGTCACTTGGGGCTCGCCCAGTGACCACACCTCACCTGCACCCAGCACCTGGGCAGGGATGGCTGTCACCCTCTGGCTTCTTCCTGGCTACAATTCACAGAGGCCTGGTGCCAGCTTCCCTCCCCCAGCAACCGGGCAGCCCTGGGCTCCTCACTGCCCTCTGCCTCGCCCTTCTACACCCACCTGGGCATAGTCCTCAAGGAGCACAGGGTTGGGCCCTGTGACCAAAGCTCACAGCAGCTCCCTCCCCGTCCCGCCGTCCAGCTCACTCCCTGGCTCGGAGTGTGGGCTGAGTTGTTCGGGAAGTGACCTCGGGACTGGACTCATGCAGACCCACCCCGCACTATGGCAACAGCCCATGGGCAGGTGACAGGGCTTAGGGAGGTGGCAGGACCCAGGCATCTGCCTGACCCCGAGGCCAGCAGAGGGCAGGGCCCGGCTGTCTGTGGACAGACCCAGCCCAGGGCCGCCTGGTCCCGTTCCGGATGTTTCCTGTGGGTCTCATGGGCTGCGCTCCCTCCCTGCCTGCAGCCTGTGCAGGCGCCTGGCTCAGCGGCACTGGGGAGACCCAGGGCAAGGTCAGCGCGTCCCCCACCCCCACGGGGCGGCTGTGCCCTTACTCCTGGCTGGCCACATGGGGAAGCAGCAGAGAATGGCCGTGCTTGGGCCCCTGCTGCCCGAGTGGGCGTGGGAGACCTGGATGGAGTTCCTGGCTCCTGGCCTTTGTGGCTGGAGAGAATCAACAGTGGAAGACCTCCCTCTCTTCCTCTGTCCCTGTAGCTCTGCCTTTGAAATAAATACAAAAGAAAAAGGGCAGTGGGTGCCCAACCGTGTAAAAACACCTAATGCCACTGAACTACAGACCGAAAACTTCTTTTTTAAAGATTTATTTTATTTATTTGAAAGACAGAGTTGGAGAGGGAGAGACTGAGGTCTTCCATCCCCTGGTTCCTTCCCCAGATGGCCACCACAGCCAGAGCTGGGCCCGTCCGAGACCAGAGCCAGAGAGCAGGAGCTTCCTGGTCTCCCACATGGGTGCAGGGGCCCAAGGACTTGGACTATCTTCCACTGCTTTCCCAGGCACATTAGCAGGGAGCTGGATCAGAAGTGGCGCAGCCAGGACTTGAACCAGTGCCCACATGGGATGCCGGCGTTGCATCCCTCTATGCCAACACTGGCCCCTTAAAACCCGCTAAAATGTTAAGTGTTACATTAGGTACATGTTACCATGGACACATCCCTACAACAGTACTGCTATAATGAATGGGTTTATATTTTGGTGCAGTTATATCCACCATGGGTGTCTGTGACCCCACAGGTGTGTTTCACAGGATAAATGCCAACTTCTCCCTCTGATGGGTCCTTCTGTTAGGTAGGAAGTCAGTTATGAGCTTATGTGTGTGCGACATAAAGGCCTAAAGAGAAGACGTCTATGTCCAGCATATGCTGCATCTCCAGGTCATCCCAACGGTGTTTCAGGGGCAGCCCAGTATTCACTTCCTGCCCTGCCCCCTTCTACCAGATAACCTGCCAGGTGGGGGTCCCCACCCCTTCTGCCAGACGATCTTCCACAATCTCCCAGGTGCAGCCCAGTATCTGCATCTCAAACACCAATTCTCTAGGGGGTCCTGCCTACCCTTCCTCCCGTCTGATAACATTTGCATCCATAAAGTCCTTTGTTTCAGGAGGAAGTGTGTGAAGCAAGACCCATCTCCTTAACTAACACCCCCCCCACCCCCGCCTCAACCGGACTGCGGGCTCAGCCCTCTGCCTCTCTGCTGAGCTGCCCGCCTGGTCTGGCCAGGTGTAACCTCTGCACTCAACCATGTAACCTCGCCCCCCCACACCGACCCCAGTCTCTCAGGCTCTGTCTGGAGAGGTGCCCATCCGTCCTTACGGATGTCCCTTCCCTAATAAACCTTGCTATTTTACCTCCCACTACTCTCTGTCTCACGCCTGAATTCTTTCTTGCGCGAAGACAAGAACCCTGCAATTTCTCCGGTAACACTTCCATCCCACAGGGGTGGCTCCCAAGAGTACCTCCTGATCAGTCAGCACGCTAACATTTCCCGTCTTCCCTGCAAACTTTTCTTGCTGGTCTGGGAGATGATGCAGGGATTCTTCAACCTCCAAGCAGCGCCTAGGACCAGGCAGGCGCCTAGGAGAATGCAGTGCCGGGATCTCATTCCCACCTCCAAGTCCCCCCTCCAGGAATTTTATTGATCTGGCCTTCTCCTTTCCAGGCCATCCCTCCTCCCCGCCCACCCTCAGCACTGCCTGCGCTTCCCTGGGCCCCGCCCCTGAGATAAGCTGCCTCCTGCCTGGGGAACTGGCTGTGGAGATAACAGCTAAGGAGGCACCCTTGGGCAGTTCTGCTTCGCGCTGACTCCCCACCAGTGCGGGCTGCAGACCGGCGGTGAGAGGGGTCTGCCCTGGATTTGCCCACCCACCCTGCCTCTGCCTGCTTAGCACGTGCAGGACCCCGAACACCAAGCCCTCCAACACCCAGGGCAGCCACACTCGCCCTGAGCACAAAGCCTTCAGGGGAACGTTGAGACCTCCCTTTAACTGTGAGGTTCCCAAGCCCCCGCTGCGCCCCTCCAGGGCATCTCCCGAGGCACAGTACATATCAAAGAGAGGAGACTTTCTGGAGTGAGAGAATGCTCTAGGCTTGGTGGCAATGACTGAACAACATCCTTTTCAAAAAGATTTACTTATTTATTTGTTTATTTATTTATTGGAAAGGCAGAGCATCAGAGAAGGGGAGAGACAGAGATGGAGGGACCTCCCATCTGCTGGCTCACTCCCCCAATGGCTACAACAGCCAGAGCTGGGCCAGGTTGAAGCCAGGAGCCAGGAGCTCCATCCACAGGAGTGGCAGAGGCTCAGGTGCTTGGGCCACCGCCCTCTGCCTTCCCAGGCGCAGCAGCGGGCAGCTGGGTGAGAGCAGAGCAGCCAGGGCTGGAACCGGCACTCCAGCGTGGGCTGCTGCTGCTGCAGCAGAGGCTGACCCTTCTGTCACAACAGACCCACACATCCGTGTGACCACCTGAAAACCATCTGCTCGCCCACGTTCCGAGGGCGAACTTTACAGACGGTGAATTCTGTCTCAATCAGAAATAAAACAGGGCCGGCGCTGTGGTGCAGCGGGTAAAGCCGCTGCCTGCAGTGCTGGCATCCCATATGGACGCCAGTTCGAGTCCCAGCTGCTCCACTTCTGATCCAGCTTTCTGCTATGGCCTGAGAAAGCAGTGGAAGATGGCCCAAGTGCCTGGGCCCCTGCACCTGCATGGGAGACCCGAAGAAGCTCCTGGCTCCTGGCTTTGGATCGACATGGCTTTGGGTTGGCACAGCTCCAGCCATTGCTGCCAATTGGGGAGTGAACCAGTGGATGAAAGACCTCTCTCTCTGTCTCTCTCTGCCTCTCCTCTCTGTGTGTAACCCTGACTTCCAAATAAATACATAAATCTTTAAAAAAAAAGAAACACATGAGCGGCCAGTGGGGACCAGACAAGAGCCAGAGCTTGGTGCAT